GATTAAAAATCTATTCATCGAATATCTGTTTTATATAAGATATTGTAACAATAATATATCAATTATTATATATGTATTATAAATATATGTACCAAATATTAGTAATTGTTTATATATAAGATCAGTATGTCCTTATATATCTTTAATATGTTACTATTATAATATCTTATATAAAATAGAGATATTAGATGTATATATATATATATAGTATATATAGTATGTATATACTATATATATATATATATATAGTAATAAAATTAGATGGATATATATATAATAATAAATATGTATATAGTTATTACTAATTTTATATATGTGTATATGTACATATAGCAGTCTTAAGTATTTCTCGGATTTCGATAGTCCAATGAAGAGCTTTAATTCATCAACAGAGAGTAAAACTAATAAACCTGAAAGCAAAAACCCGCGCAAGACATCGTCAATTAAACGTTCTCTAACTGGTATGTTTTCTTTTACGTGTACAAATTGTATCGAGACATATACGCCTCTCGTCTTCATAGACCCTCAACAAATATCGCACCGATTGCACGGCGAGAGTTTATTTTCATTTTATTTACGCATTATGATATAGTCATTTCCTTAATTATACACGTGCCATGTAGATGCGCGTGAATTTCTACAAAAGCGCAGTGACAGTCCCGTACTTTAATATTCTTATAACCCCATATCTTTCATTTCAACTCATATTTGAATAAAAAGGTAAATAAATCGAATTTATATATTCACTATTTAAGAGGCACTTCTCAAAATCGATAAAGTGAATGAGAACATAAGGAAGTTTATTAGTGATACGAAGCATGAAACACAGCATGCCTACCAATCTAAAAGTGAAGAACAAAAAGAAAACGGTAACGAGGAAATAGCATTTGATGCAGTGAATTCTTCAAAACGTTCTGTTAAAAGAATGATATCGTTCGAATGTAAATATGACAAAAATGAAAACAATAACAATCACACAGTTCATAAATCGCCTGATCGTACGGTAGATGGCGCGACTGGAAGTGACGATGAAATTGAAAATGCCGATATACTAAAAGAAATTGTATTGGACACGCACAAAACCATCTTCCCAACTGAGAAAAAAGAATCTGAAAAAAATATCGTCACGAGTCAGCCACCACGGCAAGGCGAGGTAAATTTACTACAGTCTTTTTCCTACCATTTATATGATAACAATATATAAGTTATAATATATATGTGTGTGTGTGTGTGTGTGTGTGTGTGTGTGTGTGTGTTATTTTATAGTGCGACCAATGTGCATATATAGAGACGAATTATCTTGCTCTGTATACGAAACTGAAAATGGCGATTGCTAAGCTAAAAGAGAAAAGACACATTATATGTAAAAATGAATCGACGATTGAACATCTCAATAAAAAGATAGAAGAACTCACAAGCGAGATTACTACTCTAAGGATGGCGGAATTCGAAGTAAGAGATATGAATTTAAAAAACAGGATATTAGGAAAGGAGTTGCAGGAATTTAGACGTTTAATTACGGAGATTGGAAAGGAATATAAACAGAAGTTAACAAATTACTACGAACAAGTGATAATGCATGAAAAGGAAAAAATTGCTAACGAGAAGGACAAGATTATGCTCAAATTGGAACAAAGAAACATCGAGATGTTGAAAAACATTGAGATAAACCAGAAGGAGTTGACCTATGTTACAAAGCAATTAGAGTAAGTGATATATAGTCATTAACATGTTACCTCGCTGTAAGCTACACTTGTCTATAATATATCTATATATTTTTTACTTATATATTATATTATATGTAAAAAGTATCATTTTTTTATAGAAAGAACGATATCATCAATCTGATACAATTTTTAGTTTGAAGATATCTTTCTTTCTACTCAATATTTTATTTTCTCAATTCATGAAAATTATTCTTGAATAACAAGAATATAATATTTTTAGTGGAACTATATAGAATTTCTTCATGTAAACAAGTTTTATCTCCACATAAAATTATGTTTTCTTGTTTATATAAAGAGAATATAAGTCTTGAATCGATAATTTTTTTCCGTATATCGGCTCCGTTTGTGTGCTTTTTTTATCTCTTTATTTCCATTTTCGTGGATTTCTTTTCCACGAATCTCAGAATAAGAGTTACCGCTGCGCAATTGTTACACGCACAAATTTGTATTTACGTCCTATACACGTTAGTGTTTAAATAATTTTTATTATCATTCTATTATGATATCTCGCAACTGCTATTTTTCCTACATATACTTACGCACACGCGCGCATAAAAATCGCAGCGGTATGTATCTTTTACGTGTACAGCGTAAAATTAAACGTAAAATACAAAGTGACTCGTTATCCTCACTGAAGAATGTAATCATGTTGCTGTTAATGTTATTAACGAAAAAGAGAAAAAATATCGCCATTACCAAGCTATTATTGGAAAAAGTAACTTGTGACGGCAACGGCATTTCAAACGCGTTATTTCCCAATATTACCAAAAATATCACAAAATGCTTGTGTTTTGCAGACTCATACATAAGGAGTATTTCAGTTTTAAAAAACAAATGTTCGAGAGACGTTTGGACGACCAATACGAAAAAACTAAGATCTCAATAGAGAAGTACGTTTATACGAATGCTGCTCTGTTATCAAATAGTGCTAATGTAATAGACACAATTTTTTACTAACTGATATTTCATGCTTACAGGATCAAATATTTTTACGAAATTACACTTAATACAATGACTGCAATAAAGGCTACGTTTGAACAAATTTTGGGAAATGACATGCACATGATGGAAACCTTACAATTTTGGCAAGATAATATCAATTTCTTGAATAATGAGTTGAAAGATTGTCAGGTATGCTGCCTAGTTTGTTTTATCCTATAAAACGAGTTGTACGATATTAAACGTGATAAAAGTGACACTAGTATTATTGATAATAATGTTTATGATAAGATTTTTCAATAATGAACACAGATTTGAATCTTACGAATCTAGTTTGACAGTTAAGATAATTAATTCATTAATTTTAACATTGATAAAACAATTGAATGTGCACTAATGCATATATACATAAACATGTACACACATATGCATGTATATATAAGTGTACATGTATTTGATCCGCATGAAAATTTTTTACCGGACACCATAAATGTTTACTTATCAAATATATATAAGACTTGCATATAATTTCAATGTTGATATTTTTTTAGGAATTGTACACGCAAATAAATATTCAGTTAAAAAATAAAGAATTTATTAATAGAAGCAACGACATACCGTGGATGGAATATAAGGCACCCATACATTCTACCACGACTTTGTCTATATTCGTGAACGACATGTTGGTGGACTTTTATAACAAATTAATAGAAAAGTGGAGCCTAGATATTTCATCTATCTCGCCAGATATGTTGTCAAGCAAATACAAACCTCTTAAACATGAATATTATAAGACAAATGTTAGCAGTGACGACCAAACTGCTGTACATGGTAAAGTGATTCATAAACACAATGGCATATTTTATATAGAAATTTTATTTTATTATAAAAGATGCGACATGATAGTGTACATCAAGCACACAGACCGGAATAATAGCCTTAAGCAAAGCAATTTATTAGAATTTTCTAATCGCGTTCTAACGCACGCGTTATTATTGATTTATTATTTATTGATTATTCAACAAAAAGCAGAAACGACGTATGAAATTGGTAACTTATCATTGTGATAAGAAATATATTCTCAAAACATCTCACGAATGAGTGAAAATAAAAAAACATATTAGCATTATCAATTGCTTACCAGGACGCTTTTTGTGTCAGCCAGATTTCTAATTAAAATATTAAAAAAATTAAAGTCGTAATAAAAAGTATAACGGCATTTTCCATATAATGTCGATATAATCTTTCGATAATAATTTGTTTCACTAATATTGGTGCAGACTAATATTAACCTGCACGGTTATTATTGATGTATGATCACTCGGTAATACTTCCTGAATTTGTGCACATTCTCTTCACTTTCATTTGTGCACATTATTTCATAGTTTTTACAAATAATAGTGAAATCGTATTAAAATATCTTACAAAAGTAAGATCAAAAGAAAAACGATTTTGTCCTCTGTTTTTCGTAAATATTGCTTAAATATTGTTTGATATTTTTTTATTCCTAGTTCTTATTATGCGAGTCGCATGACCTTTTGTAAGAGCATTAGACAATGGCTGCGTTCCGATATTCACTGTCAGTATTAAAAATATAATATAAGTAACATAAACTATAAATTTTCAATAATAGCAGAATATAGGAACGTAGCCAATATTTAAAGATATTTTGTAATTGACATTAATTAAATTCGCATTACTATCTTTATAGAAGCGACGAACAAGCCAGTTGTCAGAGGCATTGTACCTGAAACAAGCGTTTTACAAACGGAAAGGGACAGTCCTATAGATTTCACATGTTTTGAAACTCTACATCTCTCTTTAGAATCAAATGAAGATGACATATCTAAGGTATCGTTTACAGATTATGAAACTCAGAAAATCCCAGTAAGTAAAATGTTGGCAGCAGATTCAATTACAACACCGCAACAAAATCATAACTGTCTGTAATTTCATTAAGTTGCGTTATCGATAGAGCCTGCTGACATGCCATATCGGGAAAAAATGTTTCATATACAAAGTGTTTGACGTAAAACGTGTCAACCGTTACATTACTACTTATAATTTAAGTCAATGTGAATAAAAATGTCCTCTACTATTTTGCAAACGACTGCGCAAAATTTCGAGTTATTTATGATTGAAAATGGCCTTGTATAGAGGCTTCCTTAATTAATAACTCAAAAATTTGCCGTTATTTGTAAAACGGCACAGGACTTTTTTGTTCAGAGTGGCCTAATCTACAAGTATATGACAGTTGTTGTACCTAGCGACAAGTTTAAAGTTCAATATATTGATGTTTATCGCTAGATAAAACAGCTGTCATATACTTGTAGATTAGACTACTCTGAATAAAAAAGTCCTGTATCATTTTGCAAATAACATGCAAATTTCTGAATTGTTAATTAAAGAAGCCTTTATATATGATCATTTTCAATAATTAATAATTCGAAATTTTGCATGTTGTTTGCAAAATGGTACAGGACTTTTTTGTTCATATTGACATAAACTACAAATATATAACAAATATATAAGGTTAGCAGGACTTGCGTTAGAAACTTTGTATAATTACATATAGAATATGCCCCTTTATTATATATATATATATATATATATATATCTGAGTACATATACACTATTGTACTTTTTTAATTCTACAAAAAACTTTTTGCTGATTGCTGTTATGTCTCATATATCATTTGACAATATAGTATACATACATATAAAACATACATATAACATATATATAAATATATACATAAAAATTTACAAGACTACGAAACAATTATTGGTGTAATATTGAAGAATAATAGTTCTTTAACAATATATCAGTATTTTTTCGTATTCCTGTATTTTTTCCATATGGTGATTTTACTTGAAATTTTCTTAATTATGTGCCATTTAATAGATTCAATTTATACCATATTTGAAGGATGTAAATTAAATATTCTATTATATATATCAGATTCTGCTCACACAAAATCCATCTCTATAGGTTGAGCTACCTGAAAGTTTTCTAGACTTTTTAGACAATAATGCCAACTACAGTGAATGCGAAGAAGCAGAAAAAACTCTTATCAAATATGACGAACAGCAAGATATTAATCAATTTTATAAATTAGTACATTCAACACCGCAAAATACAACTATTTCAAACGATGATAAGATGTTCTGGAAGCAGAAGAAAAGAGGTAGGGAATATAAGGAAGATAAGGAAAATAAGAAAAATAAAAAAATTACCTTTGCCGAACACGAAAAGTAAATAAAATAAATTTTGTATGATTTGTATAATAAATATTCATTTGAAAGAGTACGTACGTAAATATAAATTTACGTTTTTAGGCAAATCGATGACGGAGTAACGACAAGTAATAAAGAAGTAACTTTAGATAAGGTTGATGAAGATATTAACAAGGAAATAATTACAAACAAGTTCGGTGGAACTAGTAATGAAGAAGTAATTCCAACGGAGCAAAGTGATAGCAGTAACAGTACAAAATATTGTCCAAGGAAAACTACCTCAGGGAATAGCTATTCAAGAGATATTAGCTCAAATGCATTCCATTCAGAAAAAGTTACTCCAGAGAAAACTACCTCAGAAGAAATCTGTTCGGGAAAAGATCATTTAGAAGAGTACCTCTTCAGGAAAGGTTAGTTCTTAAGAATTGTAATATCCGTGAGAAATCAATTGAAAAGTATATTTGTTGCATATTTTCTATCTTTTAGATTTAAATTTTATATTGTCCTTTCCTGCTTGCTTCATTTTATGTAGTTTACTTTATTATTTCATGAGAAATCTTTCTCGAATTCCTTGATATTAGAGGAACGATTGGATGACACTCTATATGCACTATATAGACGTATATGTAAGTTAAATAAATATAAAAAGCATACATACGTAATAATAATTACGTCAATTTTACTATATGTTAAAAATATTGCACGTATATTATACATAGTGTTTTATAACATGACAAGAAGTATAACTCGCATTATTGAAAGAAATTTTATTATGGTATACTCGCAGATAGTAATTTATTATATATTTACTTAACAAGATTATTAACTCCACCAGAAACTTATTGAGAAACTCGGAGTGAGGGCGGTTACGTGATGCCACCACTTTGGTGGAATATAAAGCATTTCTCCAGGTTTTAAGCAACACATTAGGCCTTTAGCTTTACAAAAATTTGGCCACTTATTATAATCTAGATTTATTGGGTCCACCTGTGCAGTATTATTGAGTAACCTCGTGTTGTACGGATACAAATTATCTGTTTCGTCTGGATGATATAAAATAATTCTTTTATAACCAAATATCTGCAAAACATGAACAGTTACAATATTATGGCATATGATAAATTTAATACGGATTTATAGATAAAACCTGTTGGGGAGAAAACTTTTTAATACTGGCATGCATCCACAGTCAAATATAATTATTCTGATTAAAGGGACACTTTTTTTGAAAATATCTGTTTCACACATACTTAAAATATTAAATCATTTTCTTAATACATCATATCTCAATCTTTAATTATTAAAAAACTATTCAACAAAATAGCTTATCTAGTGTGATTCTATATTTATAAAGAGAACATATATAATTGATATATATACATAAATTATTATATTATAATTAATTTATGTAATTTATTATAATTATATTAATTATTATATTTATATTTTATCACCTGAGAAAGCAAGTTATTTTTTGGATCAAAGTGCAAGGGCGATACTGTGCCACCAGGTCCGAACCACGCATTTATATCAGGTGGTTCGACGTCATTATTCTCATCGTCCGAAAAACTGCAGTATTCCGGTATTGCGAAATCCTCTTTTAATTCTGGTATCTGAGAAAAATTTCGAAAGATTTTATATTAATACATTAGGATTATGTTTAAGAACGCGTTAAACTGATTAACTTTGTAATATTGAACCAATGTATTTTGGACCACCTGTTCGAAAAGTTGATGCTGCGCCAAATAACCGACTCGACTGTCACTTGCGATAACGTGTGTTCGTAAAAATTCAGAGAAACTGACAAGATGCTGAGTCCAATCCTCCTCAGTATAACGGGAACCAATTTCGATAGGTACTGTACGAGATCCTGCAATCTTACATAGATAGTCAGGATTCTTCCACAATGCCAATGCTTTCCAATGTTTCATGCAACCTAAGGAGGTACATTGAAATAAATACTTAATAGTCTTCTTTGACAATTTTGCGAAGGCACGTGTAAAGTATCATCAGATTGCTATGTAAATAGGAGCTACATAACGTATTTATAATGTTCGTAGAAGATAATCGATGACTTTGTATGTTGAGACAGGTTGAGATAAAATTAGTCATTTTATCAATACATATTATTATAAGAAGTTTTAAGCGATTCGTGTTCTTTACCTGTTAACACGGCCGGATATTTCGGCATAAAAACCTTTCTGTAAAATGACTCCATTGAAGGCTCCTCATAATGTGCTACCTCCGAGAATCCAGATAAGATCGCATCGTTAATTTTATCACCGTCAATTGGGATTTCCTCTAGATTTGCACCACTAGATTCGTCTAATGGAAACACAAAAAGCAGATCATTGATTTCTAATATTACCACTGAATTATTGTATATAATTTTATCTGCTAATCTTTACTTATCGTTATATTAGTATATTAGTAACGCAGAAATCTTTACCACCACAATAACTGTTCAGCTTCGCGGCAATAGTTGTTAATAAGTTCGGCACACTGGAAAGTGGCGCGCCTAATAGAATACCTTTGTCAATTTGGCTAATAATATTTCTTAATGCAGCTTTTTTTTCTTTCTCGGTGGAATGCCCGGCATTAATTTCATATTGAAGTTCTAACAATACTGCCTAAATGTAGAGAGAGCATAGTTTCAAATTAATTAGTTAAGCTAATGAGTAAAAATATTTGACTGATATAAGATATGGAGTGTATTAATAACTACTTTATATACCTTTATAACAATGCATAGAGAATAACTATATCTGTACTCTACCGGGACATCTTTCCAGTATCCTGAATTCAACATTTCCCATGTGCGATCTAAACAAGCTTCTATTTTCGTTATCGAAGTACCTATCCATTTTTCTGATGTTCTTGTGGGAAGAAAGTTTTATATATATAACACGTTGAGTATTCGTGCAAAATAAAGATCTGATGAATATACGCGGTCTGTAAAGACCTTTCAAATACTATCAATGAATCCAATCAAACCAAATGAATATTACCCAGGAATTTTTTATATTTACAATTGTTTGTCAGATGCACGTAATACATCGATTGTCGATGCTAAGTACAGCCTTATCTCGATAGGTATGTTTTTCAATTCCTCCGCTAATAATTCCCAAGGAACCGTTACCATAGAAGTGCTGCGAGCCATTCTCTGAAAATCATATAGGTGGTAAAATAAATGCAGACTACCTTAAGAGAAATGAAGAAACCTTTACTTATAAAAAAATGCTTCTGTTGTATACAGGTTTACTCAAATATATCCATTGTACAACAATGTGATCAGCTAAATAATACAAAATCTTGCCGGTTAGTGAGAAGGTCTTAACTCTGCAGAAACTCTCTATATATATAACAACGCTCTGTGTGATGCACAGTACTTTGAATAAAAATGCTACGACACACAGGGGAACGCAAGTGCCAGGACCGTTGCATAAAATAAGCTCTGGTTTTTCTTTCCACAATATTGGAAGAGAATTTAAAGTGGCGAGCACAGTGGTCCAGACTGACGTGAAGTACGATTGTCGTACTTCTCTACTTCTGTAAATGTCTATAATTTTGTAATCTTCATTGCCATCTTCCAGGTTTTTGACCTTTTCTGCACTGAGCTTATCTGTCTCTGCACAAACGTATATTCTAGGTGAATAATTCTTAAAATCCATATGCCTGACGACACGCAGCATTTCGGCTGTGTGTCCTCCTGATCCTAATATTATCATTGTTTTAGCAGGATGAGATCTTTTTCTGGGCTTGTTGCGTTTCACGAATATCAAGTAAATTATTCTCACAAGTATCAGTATACAACAGACAAGAATAATACCACGAGTAACAAAATATTTCGTGCACATTTTTCCGTTTTATTACCTGAAAAAAGTATTATAAAATAAAGCATGCGACAGGTGGACGTCCAATGTTTGATTAGGTCAGGTTATATAAATGTTCAAGAATAATTCTCACCAATTTGGCCACAGTTTGTGGTATAATTATTTATTATCGTGCCAGAAATTAAGAATTGTTCAAAGAAATAATCACATTCAATTACATTTTCAATCAATTATATATTTCACAGGAATTGTCTTGAAATTACGCATTCCATCGATAATACGATGATAGGCGTACTACTTGGAAATCAAGATTTTTTATTCACCGTTTCGTTTATTCTTTTTAGCTGTACTGCTGCACTGCTGTAATGAGTTAGAAGTAGACAAGAATATATTGTCTTGTTCTAACAGTTAGAACAGACCAATTAGTGCCCGTTTCTACTATCACGATTTAAATTTAATCGACGATTAACTCAACGGAATTGACCAATCGGCATTGATTAATTCAGCCAATTGGCCAATATAATTCCTTTGAATAAATCGTGGATTAAATTTAAACCATGGCTGCGTTCGGAAATCCTATTCAACAGGTAGAGCAGCATTTAATTGATTAATCAAGATAAAAAAGGCAAAGATTTCTTTATCACGATTGGTTAATAATCTCTACTTTATTGAGTAAGATTTCTGAACGCACCCCATGATGATAGAAACAGTTATAAATTTAGGGTGCCTAGAGAAAATTTTAGGAACTATCCGACAACCAATCGGCATATCCGACAATACTCGTCGTGCGACAAGCGACATCTACCTCCAGAAAGACCTCTAGAAAGTAGAATCTCCTATTGGATGCCAGGCGAAATGTGAATCTTCCTTCATACGGTTTTGTTCGAAAATCCTATTTGTCAATATAGTAGCATTCAAAGCTGATTGTTCCATCTTCTTGGCAAGATTTACCTGACAGGAAATCTTTCCAGGAAGTTAGCCGGCCCTTAATTAATCAATCATGATAATGAAATCTTAGCTTTTTTCGCTCTGATTGATGAATTAAGTGCAACTCTACCTATTAAGTACATAGCCGTACGTAGCCCAGCGGCTTTGCAATAGGCGCCACTTTTCCCCTCGGTTTCTCATCAAACGGACGTTCATAGTCCGCGATCATCAGCTCCATAAACTCACGTACGCCATTTTTATTTACGTGTGGTAGGGGGCGACGAGAAGCAAGCGACTTTCGTTGCGAGAGTGATTTATAAGAATCCGCAAATTCTTCAGAGAGAATGTTTCGCTTCGCAGTATGTGTGTGACGTGTGCCATCGGTGTATGTGACGCGCGCCAGTTTTGCGTGCGCTCAACGTAAAAGACTATTTACGCGGACGGCGTAGTCCGCCGTGACCATTGCGAACGCTTCGACTCTTCCCAGCACTCCTCTCGATAAAATGGATTATCGCGAAAAGGTAAGCCGCCTGCACTACCAGGATTCGTGCGAACGTACGCTATTCGCGATCGACGTTTCTCTTTGTCAAGACGTATTTTCGGTCGAGGAGCGACGAGGATACACGTCGAATATGTCCGTGACAATGCGATGCCGAAAGTGTGTTCGATAGCAAAAAACACTCCGATCGTGTGTGTTCTGCGATGGTTTATTCATTTGCGTTTGTTTCTCGCGATCGTGACGGTTGATGTCGCAAAAACCCGATTTTTCGTCAATTCTCTGATACTATGAATGAACTTTCTTGTATATCCTGTGTAAGATCTCATTATTTGTGTGCGCTCTCTCACAGATGGTCGTAGTTCCGCAATCAAAAATCAAAATTGAGGATGATGACGACGAAGATCTGGAAACGTTAAGGATGGTTGCACTACAATCGATCCGGGCAAAAGATGCGGCGCGCAACAGACGACCGATATTACCACAAGTAACACAATCGTCTCGTATCCCATATAAATACCAACGGCCTATGAGAAGGAATTTTCACTACAACAATAGAATACAACAAAGGCAAAATGGCGTAAGTCTTATTTGTATTGCATAGCATATTTGGATTCACAAGTATGATAGGTGCTTTGTATGCCGATATTAACATGTTGAGTGCCGCACCAATTCCGGGTGACTTCATTCAAGCCATATAGGCTACTGATAATCCACGATCACTGCACTTATTGTATATTTTTATTGTGTATCTTTATAAGATGTATCTTATAATATTTATAAAACTATAAAAATCAGTATTCCGAAGGAAAGAGATAATGTAAAATAAGCATTAGGTAGCATGAATGGAAAGTCCAATGTGGGCCACCACTGGCCGACACAATATTCAACTTATTAAGATAACTATGACTATGTTTACACAGGAACTTAGAACTGATTTAGACCTGGTTGCATCAATGTTATTTCGGCTTTATGCGACACTTAAAACTTGAAATTTGTTGTACTCAAGTAAAAGCAAAACCTGCCTTTAATTTGCACTAATCTTAATTAGATAAACTCAAAGCACTTTAGCTGTCACTTCTGCTCTGGTACAACAAATTTCAAGTTTTAAGTCTTACTTAAAATCAAAATAACATTGCAACCAGGCCTTAATGCTTCTATAATCAAAGTTTATGTGAATAACGTAGGACTGATTTAATAATTTCTGCTGATGCGACTATCGATGTTGTACAAATAGTTATGTTATATCTATACCGCATATATATGTGACATGTGACACTAATAGCTGCGATATCGGGACTTATCAGTTTTGATCATGCAAACATAGATTACAGGTATTACTAATTTAATTTTAGGTTGCTGTATAAACATGTCAAGATTATTGTACTTTTGTTCCATAATATTCATACTATATGCATATATTTGATTAACTATGTCAAAATATTTCAAGAATATGTAATCTTAATTTTTTACATTTTTATTTCATGTGTCTGCACTTCCCATTTACAGAATGTATATTATCAGAGCCCTCGTAATCCAAACCTGATAGCGATAGTTCCTGTGGATGAACCTACACCACTTCAACAAATTGAAACAGTTTATCCCGTCAAAGTAGAAAAGACTGAGCCACATGTAGAATCATGCCCTCAAGGTGAATTTTCTTCCTGTTTATACGTGATATATTAGGACATTGCGTTAAATATTGATACCAATGATTGCACGCTTATTTCTTCCTACAAGAGTTCAACAATAATATAATTGTATTTTCAGAAATATCAAAATTTCACCGTTTCAAAGACAATGGGAGCGCTTCTGAGGATGAGGATATGAAGGAGCAGAAGAGCGCCGCAACGTCAGTGAAGGCAGATATTATAGCGAAGGAAGAACCGAAAGAGCCATTGGTAGAGATGGAAATTCCGGAGGAGGTTACAGAGAATTTGCAGAAGAACGGGGAGGATCAAAAAGAAGACGGTAACGACGATGACGACGACATACTGCTAATGGCTGATCTCGAAGAGGAAGACAGCCTAGAACGTTTAATGGACGAGATGGAGCGAGAAATGAATGTGGGGAAACCGTTAGAGAAGAAGGAGAAGAAATCGAGTAAAAGTGAAGGGAAGAACCTGACGAGGCACGAGGAGGGAAATAAAGCCTCCGATCAAAGAGCGAAACCGGACGAGAGCTGCTCCGGCAAGAAGGACAGGGGCAACGTTGCGACCGCTTCGTCCCTGACTGCGGTCAAGAGCGAGAGAAGATCGGTTTCGCCGCACGTGGTGAGCCGGATCAGCCAGAAACGCAGATCGTTGTCGCCGAGGTCGCGGCCGCGCAAGAAATCACCGAGGAGATCTCCCCTCAGAAGATCCCCGCCGAGACAGTCGAGAAGATCGCCGAGAGAGTCGACGAGGTACCGCTCACCGCGGAGGTCTCCGTCGCGATATTCGCCGCGACCCAGGTCGCCGAAACTCTCGCCGCGAAGGTCTCCGAATCGAACGTCGTCCACGAAGAGGTCACCCCCGCGGAAGCTGTCGCCGAGGGGCAGATCACCCAAGCTCTCCTCGCGGTCTCGGTCGCCGCGGAGATCGTCGCGCTCGAAGTCACCGCGGCCGCGCACGCCGAAAGTTCGCTCGCGCTCCCGATCGCCGCGCTTGTCAAGGTCGCGCACGCCGAGGTTCTCGCCTCTGAGGCTATCGCCGAGGTCCAAGTCCCCCAGGTCACCCCCCAGGAGAACGTCGCCGCGTCGATTAGCGTCCAGGTCGCCCGGTCTGTCGCCCCTCCGAAGAGGATCGTCGCGTTTACAGTCACCCAAGGTGTCGTCGCCGCGTAGAACACCGCGCAGGTCGCCGTGGTCGTCGCCGAGGAATTCACCGCGGCTTCCGTCGCCTCGGCGCAGACGTTCGCCGAAGTGGTCACCGAAGGAATTACCCAGGAAGCACGGGCCGCGTTCCGTCACTCCAGATAACGCGGCCGGCTCGTACGCGCGGGAGCCGTCGCCGACCTTGAAGAGCGCGACGACGCCGGAGGTGCCACGAGTGAAGTCGAAGCAGAAGGATGAACCGTACGAGAGACCGGCGACAACGGTGGAAACGACAAAGGAGCCCGTGGACGCGATCAACGATCCCGTGCTCGAGGCGAGGAGAAAGAAGTTCGAGTCGACGCGGCCTATCGATCCAGTGAACGCCAACAAGAAGATTAAACTCTGCAAGAAGCACACCGCGAGCACCGAAATGGAGACTTCAACGAAAGCAATAGAGTTTCATCTGACCGGGTTGAGGAAGGCCAAGCCGTCGGACGAGTACGATGTCCAGGACATGGATCTGGGTCTGGAAACGAATTACGAGTTTGAAGAGCTCGAAGAAGCGGACGACGCGTCTCCGAACGCTATCGCGAGTTCCCTCAACACGTGTATCGACGTGGAGCCGCAGAAGGCGGAGAAGGAGAAGCCTTCGAAGAAGAGGAAGAAGCGCGACAAGGAGTTGTATCAAGTGGGGAAGTTGAAGAACGAGCTGCCGCTGTCCGAGCGCATCGGGAAGGACAAAAAATGTAAGAAACGCAAGGAGATCGTCTCCGACGGCCCGAGCGAAGACGTGGATGCTATATTCGAGGACTTGGCGATCGACGAAGAGGGAGACTTGCGAGCGGAACTCAGCAGGAGGCGCGCGGAAAGACTGAACAGAACAGTTCCCATTCAGTCCGCCAGATTAGTGCAGTCGGCCTTCAAAGGTGTCGTGAATGAGTGAGTATGAACCAAGTGTTACGTAGCGTCCTTAAGGATGTATTATTGCCCATTAGTACCGTATTGTCGGTGGATCGTGAATAATAAATATTTGAAACGAAATTGAGATAGATATGTATATGCAATATATTACAAATACGAAGATATTTTTATGTATTAGTTGTTCTAATAGAGATGCATAGATAATAGAGAAATGTATATAAGTATTTAAATAGGTGCATATATATATATTTCGAGTATTACTATAAATGATAAAAATTATATGTATTGTATTTTTTCAAAACGAAATGGTCAATAATTCTGAAATTTGTATATAATGCCTGCACATAAATCTTTAATACCATAGTAATTTTCCATTAAAATCTGATTTTTATAATTTAGAAGATATTAAAAATAGAAATGAAAACTAGGACGCTAATTTTAAGGGACACATATAAAAAATGTTAATTTTAGTTACAAATATTTCAGCTTTCGAATGGCTAATCTTTTTTTAATTGTACGAGCTGGAACGAAGGAAGGAGGAATGAGTTAGATAATATTTCAATGTATATGCAATATATGTTTCATCGAATTCTTATCAAACTCATTTCACCTTACAACCTCCTTTAAGGTGGAAAACTTTTGATCCAGGCTCTGAATTATTGTCAAACTTCTGGTGTAACTTTTAAATGCAGTGTAAGTCAGTTTGTATTTTTTTTATATTTTTTTAATTATTTTGAATTGTGGGCAATACATCCTTACGCCTTTTCTCGCAATAATGTCGCTCAATCCATTCTTCTCCATGCTTTTCCACAGGGTTGTGAAGAATAACGCCAAGGCTAATCAGAGGCATGTCATTAATACTGATAATACTGAGAAAAGTAAGTAACAGAGAATAGATCAATTCAAGAAATCATTTTATATTTAGTTGAATTTGTTTCCCTCCTTTCTGATTGCATGCAAATTATTCCTAACGATCGATACGTCTTTCCTTGCAGCAAATCAAAAGGAAGTTAGACGGGTTACAGTTCTACATCGATCTGTAACTGAATTACATGATTCCGAAGGTGATTATATTTTTTTCAAATATATCGTACGCTTAACACAAATTCCTGAGGTTTTATTTTGGAACATCGTTAACACTTTAATGGCCGTTCACACAACATGTGTGTGATGCTACCGCCGAAGATTATTGGCCAGTACCACACTCTCTGTGTGATGATTTATGAATGTAAACAAGTGATTTTATGAATATAAACAACAAATTTTAATAAAGTTTTTTTAAATTAATTCTTCAAAAATATTGCCGGCTCCTGGCGACGTTTGACTGCGTAGAAGTGCGGCCATTAAAGTGTTAATGACTTGAAATGTTTTCTTTTTTTAGACTTTATTATTATTTTTACTTTATTTGTACATCAATAATATATTATTACTATTTTATTCTATTCTTATTTATTTTGCGCACACGTATGAAGAAAGCGATTTGCAACGAACGAACGCAGAGGGACGATTAAAAGTGAAAACCGAGGCGTTCTTCATCACAATGCATCATCGTGTTCTTTCTATTTCACAGATGAAAGTACTCTTGATTCGAAGGTACCGGTGCGCTTCCGGCTCGGTCTCAATAAACAAGAATCCAGGGAATCCAAGGTTACTCGAAAAGCATCCAAAAGACAGGGTCGTAAGGTAAAGCACAAAAATCATTTGTCTCTAAAAGATCCTGAGCATATTTTGTAGTGTACATTATACCTTTATATAGGTGTCACTCTATAACTATACCCATAAGTAGTGTGTGATAAACCTTCGTCCACCCAATTTAATCGATACTTCATATTACCGAGTCACGGCAAACTTTCAAAATGGCAATTAATGAAGTCCTCTCAAGTCATTCACGCGATACTCCATCGTAACCTTACGGATTAGCACGGCGTTGTACGAACGAATGATCGACCGCTATAATCATACTGGCTTCGCAAATAACCATTCTCCTCAAATGTGTTCATTAACGGGAGAAATAGCGTCTCTTAATAGAGATCAACTTTTGTTGTCGTGACGGACAATTTCATTGGCGGCAAAGAAGAAATATTACGAGACCGAAACACGACAAAGACAATTTATATCAGTCGAGATTGTCTATAAACGATGTGAAGCAGAGTATGTGTGCCTTTCAATAATAGTCAAGGGTTAATACAAATTCGATAACTCTTACAACGCTAAATTTCACCAAGGGAATGTATTTAGAGCATGTTTTCGTGTATGAGGTAGATGCAGAATCTGATAACAATACTAAGTACTGAAGGAACGTGAATGCTGCACAAAGAAAAAATACGTAGAATCTTTTCCATAGATTGTTTAGCATCGCATAACTCTGAACTCGGAACGGTTCGGTTGAAAATAAAAGTGATTTGTTTTTTGTTTAGGAATAAGATAAATTCGCGTTCATCCGATCGCGATATTTATACGAAGAAAGAAAAAAGAGAGAAAGTGTGTGTGTGTGTGAGAGAGAGAGAGAGAGAGAGAGAGAGAGAGAGAGAGAGAGAGAGAGAGAGAGAAAGTAGCGGTTCATCTTACATCATTCGGTTATCAACATAGGAAGATGAGCTCTTTAAAAAGCTTATTTGATGTTGTTTGTAAATTATGCGGAACGGTGTGTTTTCTTTTCAATTATCAAATACAATAATGATACTAATAATACACTAGATGACAATATTCAAAATTTTCAATACTTCGTGCGATCTAAATGTACCCAATTATTTATTGTTAAGTATTGCTTAGGTAGATTACGTGTGATTATATTAAATCATATGTTGATGAGAATGTGTACATAATTTACTTTGATCGCTCACTTAAATAAACAGGTATCATTGATAATCCCAAAGCTACCTTTTGCAGAACCTAAGCATATTTTATACGAAGGTAGTCACAGGTCTAGACGTACCTTAATTGTACATAACGCTTAAATATCGATCAACAATGTCGAGAGAAGTACAGTTGTAGTATACATATATATATATA